CTAATGTTCCATATTAATTTTGTATCACTCTGTATAACTTTTCGGATCAAATTTCAATTTGGTTTAACATACAGTGCTTACTGTAATTAAAGATCAGGCTATACAAGGTCAAAAATTATCAGTTTGCTAATTTTCTTGCTTATCAAAAATATATTAAAAAATAAATACCCACAATTCAGCTATTTCGTTTAAAAGTATGAGACCAAGTAAAATTGGCACCATGCCACAGATTCCCTTCGACATTTCTCTATTAGCGCTGCATTCTCCTGGCCAAGATTCGGAAAAATACCGGAAAATTGCGTGGAAAACTGCTGGCCGGTCTTTTCCAAGAGTGCGAGTGAATTTTAATGCGATCCTCGCAGCTCTTTCTGGCGAGGATGTTTGGTTTCTTGACTTGACTAACTTCATTTTTTCTCTAGTTTTCCAATGGTATAGGGAAAACTTTCATTTCCTCTTCGACTCTTTTCTATAGTTTTGGTGGTTAATGGGGTGGAAAAATAGGCGGAAAGTTTGAGATCTTCTCTATAGAACTCTTAAAACAGATAAATATGCATATTATGCTGGATAGTTTTGAGTAACTAGATTTAGTATTCAAAAAATTCTGAAAGTTAATAATGGTTGTTCACCACATACGACACAGAGTATTAGCAGCTAAACGATAAAATTTTTACAAATTGTAAGTTTTGGATTTTGAAGGACTATTAGAGCTACAATTTAAAAATATTTTTACAAAATACAGTGTGTACAAATAAGTAAAAAATATTATAGTTTTATTTTTTTTCAAATAGAACACCCTGTATATTATTTTATTTTTTAGATTCTAAGATTGAAATAAAGATAAATTTGATTAAGGTTTGTCACACTTAAGCCCACCGTTTTTAAAATATTTTCAATTATATGAAATTGCAGTAAAAATTTTAAGGCTTCATTTCTCCAATGGTGTCGATGTTTTCAATACTAAATATTTACTGAAGTTTATTTATTGATCAGATACTGTATTGCAATAATAAACAATAAATACTACATTATACAGAGTGTCTATAAATTTATTTTAAATAATTACTAGCTTTAAACGGCAATAACTTGTTTATTTCAAATAGAACACCTTGTATATTTTACGAAAATCATATGCACAATTTAATTGTCTATCAGATTGTATTACACCATTTTTTACCTATCTCTTCAAGTTTTTGTAGAAAATGCATTTTTTATAATTTAAACCTCATTTATCACTATACCCATGGAATTAGTTAAGAGTTAGTTAAGTCGAGAATGAAATTAGTATTATCTAATGTCAAAGTATAAAATACTTACAGCAGATCGAAATGTCGGTAAGAATTTGGAAAAATACAACCGTTTCAAAAAAATATAAAACAACATATTTCGTGACAACGATTATAGATTCTCGGGAATGAAGATATAGTCTCAGAAGAACCTAGTTCTGCACTAGACTGCGAATGATATGTATTCGAACAGCGAATTTTTGTCACTTATAAAAATTTTAAAATAAATGCCTGCGTTTAGCGGTCTAATGTATTCACACGAAATTACTTCAAAAATCGGTCCACCATTTAAATTGATGAATAGATATTTTTATATAGTTTTATAACATTTACGATTTATTATTTCTTATATCTTTTATAGAAATAAATTTTATAGTTTTCTGGACACATTTTTATAACTTTTATAGTTATTTTTTGATTTATAATAAAGTTTCAATAAAATTATTTTTTTTTATTTAAATCACGTGACTAAAATTAAAAAAATCACTTGATTTAAATCATGATTTAAATCATTTGATTTAAATCATGCCAACCCTGCTTATAGATATACTAAAAGTTATAACCTATAAAAATTTCAAAACTTCCCAAACCCTCTACTGCTTTTGAAGATAAACGTTATTGAAACCCTATTTATAATCTGAAGCGATTTTGATCTAATTTTAATTTCAAATAATATTTTCCTCGCTTGATACAGTTACTAAGCTGCTGGAAATTTTAATAAGAGAAAAGTTTTTAACGAACTTTTCGTTTCGGTAATTGGAAAATCACAAAAGCTTTCGCATTAATTAAAAGCTCCTTAATTTTAAAGCTTTACCTTTAAAATAAAGCCAACAAGAAAAGTTGCGTTACTTTATTATTGTTTTTTTAACCCTTAAACTAAAATATTTAGTTTATATCTTCGACATAAATTTAAATTAACACAAACAAGATCAAGAAAGATAGAAATACGAGTTGGCTCTACTGTACTAGAGCATTTTAAGACTAGTGATTGGTACTGATACTAAAACACTGTATCGTAAAGTTATGTATCGAAGAATTTTATATTTGATACCAAAGTTTGGTACAAATTCCAATTTTTTTATCTCAAAAACTGTGACTTTGACTGATTTTGTTGCAAATAATATTTCTAATCTTAAATTGAAAACCGCATTTCGCTAGCTACTGTAATTTTGGAGTTACGATTTTTTAATTATTTTAACCCCCTCCCATACCCCCTTACCAACCCCCCACCCCTATTACCTATTGGTATGGTCGGCTAATAAGTTTAAAAAAAAGTGTGTTTTTTTAATTGGTGAAGTAACTCTTAATCAATACAGAACCGCAATGGGCTCTTTCACTATATTTTGGAATTAGCATAATTGAATAAAGCAATTAATTCTAGAATTTTCAGCTATCTCACTTTCGAAAAATTTGAAGTCGTTCTTAAGAAAATAAATAAAAACAAAAAAGCTCAGAATAAAAATCCGCACTTTATTTTTAAAACGTCACACCTGGCATGTTGAAAAGCGGCAACACGGCCGGGCCACCATGCTGACCCGCCACCACCTCCACACAAGGCAATTCAACCTTTTCCAATATGGCGGAGATAGAAGTGCTTTATTTGGCGCATATTTTAAAACCTGTTTTATTATACCAAACCAAATAGACATTTTTCACACAAATGTCGGGTTAGATTACGTAATATTTCACTAATTTTTTAATATACAGGGAGTCTAAAGCTCTCCACATAAGTATGGAATTTTTTGTATTATTTCTTTTCATCGGAAAAAGAAATAACCAGAAATATATGACAGAAAATAGCAATATAAACTAAATATTCAATTGCAAACACTTACCTACCATAGTTTAGAATTTACTGCACGTTTGATAAATATATACTATTATGGATAAGGAAGGATATTATAGGAAGTTACTTGTCTTAGTATATAAAAGCCTTGGTAAATACTCTTGGTGTAAACTACACTGGCTTGGGTCAAAAAATATGGAATATTTTTCCTATGTTTTGCAGCATATAAATGGGAATAAATTTAAACTATAATAGGTGAGGATAACTAAAAAATATAATATGTGTTTCAAGATTTTATATAGAAAAAAAACTAAATACCTTTTTATAAAATAAAAATATTGGATATTCTGAACAAGATGGATTTAATAATAAATTCTGACGTATGTGAGGGTCAATTGTGACCTGAAAAAAGACTTACATCCAGGCCATTTATATTTTCAAATGGGAATGTTGTCAATATCTTGTGAGGTAAGTGTAAGCAGTAGCTATAACTACATCCTCACTAGGGTACTAGAGGCTTTAGCCCTTTTTTGAGGCATATTTAATGCACTTCTTACCCGAGAACTACTAGTAGGAGTGAAATTATCTCTTTTAATAGCTGTCAACCATTTTTTACGAAGCTCGTCATTTTTGGGGAATATAAAAGCAGAAACCTTGGGACTCCTCTATAATTCTCGTGACAATTTGGAACAGAGCATGTAAAAGGTATGCTACAATAAAATGTTTACCCACCCTTTAATACCTATCTTTGATTTTTGTAGGTAACCATTATAAAGTACTATGCAAACTGGCGTTGAAGACTTTTTACTCGTTTAGGTGTAATATCTTGATAAATACTTCTAGTCCTTACCTTAAAATAATTAATAATAAAGGAGTACGACAAGCAAAAAAGTTTGAAGTTCCCTATGTGGAATGTCTGGTTTGGATTTTTGTTACACTGTTATTTTATCACTAAGAACTAAACAAACGTGTTGCAGAAGCACAACAAACTAGAGATAATTAATTATTTCTGATATTCAATCGGAACGAGAAACCACTACCGGCTTTTCAGTTTAAAGGTAAACAATTTAATAATGCGCTGCCTTCGCCGCCATATTTGCCTTGCCCATATCATGTTGATTAGCCTTGAGTAGAGGTGGTGCTGGTCAAATCAAATCGCAATGTTGCCAGTTGTTGGCTGGCGCACGAACACGGTTCTGCAATGTGATTGGTCGTATTTTTCATACGTCATCAATTGGCAGTTTAAAATTATTTCAAATAACAGCAATTTTGAGGGCCTATAAAAAAATTATTCAATGTTATGGAACTATTTTTTTTGGATAAATATACTGAAAATAGTCTTCTATTTCAGATTTTGTCCTTGAATTCCGTATTTTATTTTTTGTGAAAGAGCCCATTTTGAGCACCGATTGGAATTACTGTTAACCAGGAAGTCACAAACGAGAATGGAACAATATGATAAGACACAATATACTAAGGGTCGGCATTTCTGGTCTTAGGTGACGGTTTTCATGTGTACGAAGAGTACGGCTAACACGCTTAGTAAAATAAGATATATACTGAATAAAGACAGAAGACGAGTATTTTCCCAAGCGCATGGAATCTAGCGTCAGTTTAAGTGGTTATGTAATAAATACTTCGTATTTTTGCTCTCTCCGACTTACTAGATTACCATAGCGATTCACTCCTATACATGTAAACGCCGACCCAAGGTTTCGCTTGCCAGCAGGGTATAAAGATACATTTGGCTTTTTCAATTTTAAAAAAATATGTAGAACGTCCTAAAACTAATTTCAAATGTATTTGATCGTATATTAGACTCTCCAAAAGAACATCTCCACTGCAAGAAAATCTACAAAATAAAATAGTTATTTTATTGTATATTAGACTGCATCAATTTTAAGGCTTAATCAAATTCTGTTTTTTTTCAGTGTGACTGGTTTAGGGATAGCTACCTAGACATCCTCTTCCAAGCTCCTACAATAGCAGTACTGATAATCAACATCATTTTCATGATGTCCATCATGGTGGTATTAGTTACTAAGCTCCGGTCAGCTAACACATTGGAAATACAACAGTACAGGAAAGCAGTGAAGGCATTGGCAGTGCTCATACCGTTATTAGGAGTGACGTATGCCATCACCATATATGCTCCTGTGCATACCATTTGGGATTTGCTGCGCAGTGTTCTTCTATCGTTACAGGTGAGTTGTTGTTATATGTACATCTGAGGTCATTTATACAGCTTGGAAACTTTTTTATTATATGTGAAATTAATAAATGATATAATGAAGGCAATTTAATATAAATTTTACTGGGATATGCACGGTAGGATAATTAAGTATTATTAAGAAATTTAAAAAATATTATTTATTTTTATCCTTATTATAGACTTCCATAAAAGTAGAATAAGGCCCGGTTGTTTATACCCGATTCAGAGTGAGTTCAGATTTAAACCAAGTTCAAAATTTTAATAGGTTGTTCGATGTCTTCGTATCGTTGAACTTAGTTCAAAAATTAGATATTTCACGATTGAAATTGGACCAGCCCTTTTCGAGCCTTAAACAGAGTTGTTAATCATCTTATAACCTTATACTACAAGCGTTGATTGAAAGAACAAGGAAGATACGCACCCTAATGGGCGAATTTGTTTAAAGGCTGATTTGATTTCCTCTTACGTCTCAAGTGCTATACGGTGGAGCCTCAACTCGTTCTGCAGCTAACGCATAAAATATTCATTTTCTTTAATTCGGCCAGCGAAGGCATATCAAAGACGGCGTGGAACTGAAAGCGACAGTGTTGCCAGATTAAAATGTGTATTATATGTAATATGTTATGTACTGAGAATTTATTCGTGTTAAACCTAGATTAAAGTACAAAAATAAATAATCTAAAAATAACAAGATATTTCTATCCTTCAGTATTTTTTATTTTATGTAAAAAAATAGATGAAACAAAATGCAAGCATCTTGATTAAAATTAGATTTAATTATATTTCTTTATTATTATAATTATCGCCCGCTATCGACTATGGGCCCGCCATGCGATGGAAACTCTTTTTTCAGATTTAAATTTCACGTACCGTACACAAAATCCGTAAATCTACGAATTAATCCGTAGTTCTGGCAACGCTGTCTTTGGCAATCACACACTCTGTCAACTGAAAGCAGAACTACGGTACACTATTTTTGATCGCGCAGCAAGGTTGTCTATGCGCGCGGCGGCGCGGCGCAGAGGTAAACTAAATCTCGAACATGCTGACGGTAACGCCAGCTACATCTCGGACATATTTGGTGCCACGAAATCAACAAGCAAAATGTACCTAAATAGAATTGCCGAGTTCAGTGTTTTTTACAGCTCATGTGAAATCGGGTTTAAGCTGTTTGTCCAACCGGACCTAAATATTCAAATATTCGTTCAATTTTAATCAACTAATAGCAATAATTTAATTTTCTAATTACTGGTTAAAGCCATTCAATATACATAAATCAACATTTGAGTTGTTAGTAGAATTTTATACTATAATTTTATATACTTTTAATTATATATATTTTTATTCGATTTGTACTAATGTGTGTATTAATACATTGCTTCGAATATATTAATATTTTATTATTGTTTTCCTATTTTTGATAAAATTTCTATTTCGATCAAATTATTCATAGATATTTTTACTAAATGCAGTAGTTTATTTTTCAAAAAAATCCATGAAAATGTCTTTTGGAACTTTTAATGTATAAAAATACATTTTTAATAAAATACCTTGAGGCGAATATCAGAAACCCAAAAAATAAATCCTCAAGGAGAATAATCTTTAATTTATTATTGAATTAAGTAAATTTTAACCGTTTGATGTTAAGAAAATTTCGGGCAAGCTTTAACCGTCAGTACTTTGTTGTACTTCGTTATTTTTTAAACAAATTTACTCGAAGATAAGCAAGAAGTAATTAGGTATTAATTAGTAATAACCCTTCCTTTTAAAAGCAGGGGGTTCGTTTTAATTAAGTACATACTGAAATTTAAAGGCTTTAAAATTTATAATTCTAATGACAAAGAGAAAATGTTTCTTTTGACCAGATCTGCCACCCCTTAAAATACTTGCACTTATTTCTGAGACATCCTGTATTTTAATAAGTTTAAAAATTAGACCGCCACTGATAATTTAATGGTAATTATTGAAAAAAAAAGTTTTTGGAATTAAGAAACTCACAATAATTCAATAATTCAAAAAATACAAATAATTTATTTTCTGCTCTAGAATTTTAACATTACAGTTTTATCAAAATTTATTTCTCATGGAGTTTTACTAGTTTTTCCGAAACTTCCCATAATCCTCTGGCAAGTTCAGGATTCCATGCATTCGGGTACCTGTCCATTACATGGCAGTCTTGAAAATGATCGCCTGACAAATGTTCAATGTTCTTCGCTACGGCACAATAAACTGAAGTTTGAGCTCCTTCTATGACATTCTAAAACAACAGACAACCCAATTATACAGGGTGCTAAAAATTCGGGGTACGAGCAGAGTATAAATAAATAAATAAATGCCATTATTGTCAAAAAAATTTTTAATTTGTAGACAAAAGTAAACTAAACAAACAGAGTAAACAAACAAGTTACACAAACAAAAAAACAAAAGATAATACAAAACATTATACAAATAATATTGTCTTATTGTTTAAAATAAACATTTATAAATGTTTACAATGTCAAAGAACAAAAAATAAAAATAATATTAAAAAATATTTAGTTAGTTTATAGTAAATATCAATGACCTCTAAATAAATTTATTTCGATGTCATTTTAGAAATATATCAATAGCAAACATTAGACCAGTGTTTAGAAGATCAAATTCGATTTTCAAAATATAATTCATTTATGGCGTAGAAAGCTTTGTCTAGTAAATAAGAGTTCAATGCTTTGCGAAATGAAGAAAATTATGTTATGGATTTGATTTCAAATGGCAGGTGATTGTGCATTTTTTTCGAGTTGTATAATATTGAACTTTTAACTAACTCTGAGCGTGGGGTAGGTAGATAAATATCTTGCTCCGCTTTCCTGAGTGGATAAGTGTGAGAAGGCCTTTCTTGAGAATCTGACACATGCTTACGTATTAGACAAACGGATTCAAATATAAATAAGGAAGGAAGAGTAATATTTTCAATTTTTAAAAAAAGTCCTGGCAATGATTTCTGCTGTTTAGTCCCAGTGAATATCGAACAGCTCTCTTCTGGAGCTTGAAAATGCGGTCAAATTGAGTCGCACAACACGTACCCCAGAATGGAAGGGCATACCTGAGGTGCGACTCAAAAAGTGCATAATAAATAGTTCTAGCCACTGACAAGTTAAGCTCCTTAGAAACAGACCTTAATGCAAAACAGGCAGAGCTCAATTTTTTCGACAAAACTTCGATATGTATGTCCCATTTGTCTACAACAAGCCCTATCTAAGAATTTTACAGATTTTACGACGTCAATGGTGGTGTTGTTAAGTACAAAAGGCTGCAGCGAGTTTTTATACGACAAAGCTTTAGTTTAAAAATAAAATGTCGATAACCGTAATAGATACGAACAACGAACATGGTTAAATTGGGGCAAGGTTGCGCTGTATGATGTTCACCAAGATGCCATCAAAAAAGTTTTAAAAATTTCAGTATTGCTGAGTTTTTTGGAAAAAAACGGATATTGTTGACGTCATTTGTAAAAGTGAAATCAATACATTTCAACATTTACAATAAAGAGTATAAAATGCATTCGGAAATATAAGAAGAAAATATGTTCAAAGAACTATAAATAAGATTAAACGAAAAATAAATTTGTGCATTAGGGAGGGTGGTAACCCTTTCGAACATGTAGAGCATTAGAAACTAGTTTGTAGAAGTTGATTTATTTATATTAACTACGATTAATATTGAGATTTCAAATTCAAAATAAAAAAGTTAAAAATATTATCTTTAAATTGCTGGCCTGGATATTATTTATTTGAATCTTTCAATTGGCTCGATTTTCCTTATTCAACGTTAATTAGCGCTGATCAATATTGTTACGATGAATACAATCGGACTTGAAATTATTTTAAATATTAATTAAATACTTTTGTTATTGTTAAGGCAAGGGCGTAGATAAGGGGGGGGGGGAGGTACTGGGGGACAGTACCCCCCCTGACGCTTGACGAAATAGGAGAATTGAAATAGTCATTGACTATGAAAGGATTTTTTTAAATTAAAATCCGACATATAAGAACACTTTGTATGCTGTTTATAATATGTTCGACCTAATTAGAAGCACACAAAGTGTTCTTATTGGCCAGGACAGATTAGTGGGGTTAACTCTAATCAATATCCATAAAGATAGTGAAATAAATGTTGATGCTGTTATTGATAGGTTTTCCAAACAGCGTACTAGAAAACTTGATTTTGTTTTGTAGTTTTATTTATAGTTTATAGTTTTATAGTTTTTTTATAGTTTAGAGTTTTTATTTATAGTTTATAGAAAATGAACTAATAAACGCCGTTGTTTCATTTTTGTTTATGTTATTTACAAATCTATATTTTAATTTTTTTGTGTTATGTTTTTATATCTTTTTGAAGACAAAAAAATCGCCGTCGTTTTAATTCGACAAAAAAATTCCGACGGTGATTTTTTTGCGACTTAATCATAGTACCACCCCCATAGCATACACCTATCTACGCCCCTGTGTTAAGGTACCCAAAACAAAAAAAAAGTTTCAAGTGTGGCATATCCGTGTACTCAAGAAACCGAGTTCTTTCAAAATCTGAATTAAAAAATGCAGGTCCGTATTTAAATAAATTAAGTTGGCCTCTGTATCTCACAAATCATCAGCTAATTTGAAAATCTAAAATACTATCAGATAGCCCTAATAAAGTGGCTATGAGAATATGCAATTAGTTTTTGGTTTTCTAAAAAGTAACATAAAATAAATATAATAATTGATTTTCAAAAAATCCGTTTTTTCCAAAAATTCAGCAATCCTTGGTGAACATCCCAAGGAGCTACTTTGCCCCAATTTAACCATCTTTGTATCTATTATGGTTTCCGAGATACCAATGCTACTCCAAATTTGTAGCACCCTGTATATGTATAAATATATAGGGTGGTTCACGGCCATGGTAGGTTAGACATTTATGGGAAACCGGTAATACCGGAAAACCGGTTTTTGAAAATTTGGATTTTTACATAAAGGCTTTGTCTGTCTAAATTATTTTCAACGTTACAATGTTGCCGCATCATATTAAAATTAGTAGAATCATTGTTGTGCCTGACATGTGTGAACAGCTCTTTATTCAAACTTACCTTATATATCCAGTAAGTACAAAGATACGTAGGATACTTCAGCCACCCAGGATGATTTTGAAATATGTTCGTATGTATAACTCCAGGATGTAGAGAGTA